TTTTAAAGGAACTATTGTAGATCACTGTCTTTAATCCCACATATTTAGCAGGGAGGAATTTATCAGACTTGTTTTGGTGAGGTTTCAGGGCAGACTGAAATGCACATAAAGCTCAGGACCAGCTTGCTCTTGCCATGCGTTCTAACATCTCACCTGCTCCACTCAACCTCCTGCTCCCTGTTGGGTCTGGCACTTATTAGCAAATACTGAACAGGAAGAACACCACGTATTGTCAGTTAATGACAATGCAGTTAAACAACTAAGAGCTCCTACAAGCTATTTAAAACCTAGACATCTTTTGAGTATGTACATTCAGAAGCCAGCAAATAAGTCCTTGACTCCAAAAGGAAAGACAAGCTTCAGCTTCACTTCATCTAGCAATCTACATACACCAAACACAGTCCCAAGACAAAATACACAGACTGCAACGTAATGCAGCAAGTCAGATTTTCCATGGAACAGTACAACTTTCAACCCCCAAATATTCAAGATGGGAGTTCATTACTCAGATCGATAACAACACACAAGTAAGGCTAAGGTATGGTAAAAACATTTTTCATTACATCAATTAGTATAGCCGGTTTTCAAGTGAAAACATGAAAAGAGTCAACAGCACAAATTTGCATGCAAGTTAAGCTAGAGATATTCCTTCTATCATCTCTGGGGCCCTCAGCACAAGAAGGGCATGGACCTGTTGGAGCGGGTCCAGAAGAGGGCCACCAAAATGATCCGAGGGCTGGAGCACCTCTCCTACAAGGCCAGGTGAGAGAGTTGGGGTTGCTCAGCCTGGAGAAGAGAAGGCTGCGCGGAGACCTTATTGCAACCTTTCAGTACTTAAAGGGGGCCTACAGGAAGGATGGGGAGAATCTTTTTAGCAAGGCCTGTTGTGACAGAACAAGGAATAATAGATTTAAACTGAAGAAGAGTAGATTTAGGCTAGACATAAGAAAGAAATTTTTTACAGTGAGGGTGGTGAAGCACTGGGACAGGTTGCCCAGAGAGGTAGTGGAGGCCCCATCCCTGGCAACATTCAAGGTCAGGTTGGATAGGGTTCTGAGCAACCTGATCTAGTTGAAGATGTCCCTGCTCAGTGCAGGGGGGTTGGGCTAGATAATCTCTAAAGGTCCCTTCCAACCCAAAGCATTCTATGATCATCATCAATACATTTTGACCAGTAAAAGCAAATAAACAATTCTGCTTTTGAGCAAAAAGAACCATACATGAGTAAGGACCATACATTCTAAAACTAGCAAGATGTTCTGACGTGCTTTCATTCTAGACATTACTTCGTGTTGAAATATAAAACCTGTATTAGATACAGGTTCATTTGAACACAGAAAATATTAAAGAATTCCAGACTTGAAAACTTACTTGAGTAGTTCATAATTCTTCTCATTTAGTCTTACAGCATTCTCCCGCCAAAACTTCTCAGATTTGTGTACCGGACTCCACTCCAGTCTTCCTGACTTGAGCTCAGAACTATACTCATCGAAGGAGCTGCAACACAAAAGACCTAAATGAAATTTTGGCTAAGCTTCTATGAACTTAATTGGTTTGGTGGTGGACTTGGTAGTGTTAGGTTAATGGTTGGACTAGATGATCTTAAAGGTCTTTTCCAACCTAAACAATTCTATGATTCTATGAACAGCGTGCCCAAGCCTGCCCCTAGCAAGACAAAGCTGGAGCACAACTTGCTACGACACGTTTGGAAGTCAGCTCTCTGCAGAGCATGACAACTGTTCCCTGCCTCAGACTTCAACACTTTAAAAATACGGAAAGGCATGAAAGGCAAGAGAAATTTTTTTTTTTTTTTTCAAACATACCCCTCCATCCACCCCAAAGCACAATTCCAGGAGGAAAAGAAGGAGGGAGGAAAAGAAAAACTCAAGCCACACAACCACAGCATCTGTGAGTTTAATTGACTGTTTTCTAGGTTTTAACTTCCCCAACCAAGGATCCCAGTCCTTGCCTTTCATCCAATTAAACCTTTGACATTAACTACAATATGCAGTTCAATTTACGCACAAGAGCAAGAACTAGGTAAACACTAGCAAAAACTTGAGTTAATCTGGACAGCAAGATTATTCTAATCAGGTAGTCTTCAGCTTAGACTGGAACTCCTATAAGATCCCTCTGAAGTCCTTTAAGAATTTAACAGTTACAAAGATCACATATCCAAAAGTGAAGATTTATGTTCTATTCAGCCTTAAATACTCACTTAGAATAGGAAACTTTTATATAGAACCAGCACCTCTGTACACTCTGCCTTATCAACTAGCATGTACCATAATTCTGTGTATTATTTAGCTTTAAAAAAGGAAAAAACAACCCTTTTACCAATGTTCATATAATTGCATTTTTTTCAAGTTCACACTGCAAAGCATACCTAAGGTCCTGCACGCTCTCACCAAGCTTGTCCAGTAGAAATTTGATATCTTCACTTATGTCTTCATCATCATATTTCTGTTGATCCAAATTCTCTAGTTGCTTTAAAACTTTACACTGAATCATGGCAAGAGCATATTCTTGGCGAGTTTCTCTCTCGGTAGATTTCTCTAACAAATTCTAGGGAATTAAAAATTTTGTTTGTTTGTTTTAAGAACAGACTACTTTGAAACAAAGTGGTATTTTTAAGAAATTCTTAATGGCGCTTTTTAATTTAGCAAGTGACAGAATTGACCAAGTCCCAAAATAATCTCTCCAAAGAAGTAAAGTATGAGTCTACCACACAGAGACTGCTTTACACCTACGTTTAGTGGCATAGATTGCCTAGGGCTGACCTTACTACACAGGAGGAGTGTTCATATCTGTCTCTACAGCAGATGAAGAGGAACTTTAGGGAGGGGAAGAAAAAAAAAAAAAAAAAGAAAAAAAAAAGGCTCTGTCTTGCAAGGTAGACTTAGTGCAACCGTATGTCCTGAAAAGCACAACCACCACTGCATTCAAGTTTAGGTCACTTCGACCTTTTTCCTCCTAGATGGTATGCTACCTTCAATACTAGAAAGTGTTAATTCACCTGCTTTGATAATTTTCCATATCAAATCGGGCTGACTACAAAGACTCTTTGAAAGAAAAAGGGCAGACATATGCCAAATCCCAGAGTCTCTACCATAAACAACTACTTTTATCTGGGATTATCATTTTAGCTTTCTGTGCAGCAACAGCATAAAGCAGGAAAGCCTTAAAAAAAAACTAAAAAACAACCTGAAGTCATCTTTCCAACTCAAGAGTTACCACCTGGATTAGATCAGCTTGTTTTGAATTTGGGAATGTTCCAAGTAGCCATTTTTTATTCAAACAGAAGCTTGCTGGTAAAACTGGAATTGCAAGCACAGAATACAATAGTCAAGTTCCAATGTAATTTATTCATTACATTTCTACTCGATTTAATCAGCTTCAAATTATGTTGCTCAGGGCTAGCCACCTGCACTTTTTGACAAAGCTGAAAACATGAATTCCATATAAAAGACAAAGTCCTTAACAAACAGAACATGTATGTGTTCATGTAAATATGCCTTCACATCTACCAGATACAAGCAATGAAACCATATAGAAGGGATATGACTGCATCACTCTCATTCACGTCACAGAACCATTACATTTAAGGTTTCTAAGCTATCAGACATCATATAGTTCGTCAGGCAGAACACTGCAAATAAATGTTAAAACTTGCATACTGAAAATAAGTCATATTACTGCTTTTAATGGCCACATACAATTAGCTTTAATGTGCAAATAAAACCACGTTTCTATTTCAGTATGAGAACTGAGAAGTAAAAGGTAATTTACAGAAAGTAATGCTAAATTACTTAGAGTTAAAAGCGCTGACAAGAGCAAGAGAACAAATAATGACTCTTAAAAGACAAAAATACAACAAGTTCAAGGAGCAGGTAGATAAAGTTTCCAAAGAACTCCTAGTTAAGGGAGTTATAGGCAGATGTGGAAGCTACTCCAAGTAATATTCCCTATCTCATACCATAGTGAGATACTCAAGCTCTTTATAGTGAAATTGAAAGGATATGTTAGGAAAGTACAAATAGGAACACATGACTAAACAGAAGATCAGTAAACTGCCCAGTGATAAAAAAAAAAAAACTTAACATACAAAATGAGTTATAGGTAGGAAAAAGACAGAAAAGACAATAAAAGTATGAAAAATGAGGAAAAAACATTTTAATAGGTAAAGAGTGAAAACAATTGATCCAAAGCAGGCAGAAGTACCCAGTATCTGTTGCTTTATAGAAAAAAATTACATTGCAATTACATTCTTCAGGCAATTAACTTGCCAAAGAGGTGAAATAGGTCAAATTAGGAGGAATCAAGTAGTAGAGCAGACATATGCAAGTTGTCAAGACTCATGGCATACCTTCAGTAATGCACAGGCAGTAGGGATGATTTGGGGAACCATCAAGGCTAGTCCTTTACACAACTCACCTTCTCCCCCGCCCCCCTCCAAACCGATACTGTGGCCTCTCACACAGGAAAAGGTCTATTTTGCCTCTGCTACCTATTTTAATTTTGCTTCAGAACTCACAGCTCTGATGTCTAATTTCTAATCTATTATTTCCTGGCTGCCAGTTTATAACCTCATTTTCATGCCAACACTAGTCTTCAATATTGGAGAAAGAAAACAGCTAAGTTAATTTCCCCGAAGCCTGCAACAGAACCATCTTATTCTTTCTTAGCCTTTATTTATTAAAAGAACTTGGCTTCATTTTTGTCTCCTCTTGCAAAACACACTGAATCTAAGAACTAATTATTTCTCCTGCTTTTTATGACCTCAGAATTGGAAGAAGCTGAATATAAGCTGCTGAGCCACTCAACCTTTTTTTTTTAAGCTGTCTTGCTATATGTCCCTGCTTAATCCTAACATTAAGATCCTAAAGAGCACTAGAACATCTACAGACATCTACATAGTAAGAATAGCCTCTACTGAATAACCTCATGCCACTGACCTCCTTCAACAGGATAAATAGCATATTCTTATGATCTACCTTATCCAGAAATTTATCAGTGGCAGACGTTTTTGGCTCAAGAGACCGTTTAAGTCACAGAATAAGCATCTTCACACAGCTCATTACTGCTGATCAGCAAGTCAGTAATCAGCAATTCCCCTCTCCCTATCCAAATTTGCTTGCAACACCTACTACTGGAACACAATCAACACCCAGGAAAACAAATAGTTTCCAAGATCTACATCTCCTACTCAGGATACAAGTCCTGGTTTAAAACAGGATTACAAGTTGTTATAGCATTCCTGTATTACATACAAAACACTTGACAAGCATGCATATAAAACTATGTGCACATGCACAATTAGCATCCATGAACACAAATTGGTATTCTCACAATGAAAACATCAAGCCTTCGTGCTCAGTTATTCCAAGTTATTTTAAACAGGACCAGTGATTTTCAGGTAACGTGGACACAGTAAGATTTTTGGACTAATAGATAAAAATAATTTCTAAATCAGTCAGTTGGACAAATATATACATGTTTAAAATAATATTTTTTAATTAAGGCTTCATAAGACAAAATTTATCAGGTATTAGTAACTACAGTGTTTTACACAGTACCAGTAAAAAAAAAAAAAAAAATCTTGAACTAAACAAGGGAAATAACTAGTGCCTGTGTTAACATAGGTTTTTTTAGTCAACCTTATTTTAAGATGACATTGAATAGCAGATGTCTATTACTTGTAATAGAATGTCTACTACCTGTAGCAAAACTCAGTTCACAAAAAAAAAAGGAGAATTAAGTTTTCAATCCAGTTTACTGATACAGTCTAGCAGAAACAGCTGTGCATCAGCACCATTTGAGACCTACTCACTTGAGAGAGAAGCGCAGTGTGATTGCAGTCAACAGACACTTACCCGAAATGCTGCAAGGATGATTCTAGTTACTTTCTCTTTGACAGATTCCTGAAGAATATCTGACAGCACTGGAACAATATTATACCGACGGAGATATTCACACATTTGAGGGCTAAATGCCAGCAGCCACACACAGAAAATCATCTGATACTGGAGCTGGAAGCCACATTTGTTGCTCAAGACTCCCATGATACTGAAAAATTAACATAGCATACATTTAATTTTTAAATAATGACTGCATAAATTGCATTGCTCCACCCTGAAACATTAAAAGAAATTGTTAACAGGAACTTATTGGAAAGAGCTGCTGAGGATGAGTATACAACACACGCTTCACAGTATCCTGCACTAGTATTTATCATTGCACAAGCAGCTTGTTCAGAAAGCCATCTTTTAAAGATACAGGTATTTCCTCCTTAGCCTTACAGCCATAAAGCAGCTTTTCCCATGTGAACTGATGTGGTACTCTATCAATCTTCAGGTTCACCAAGACTCTTTTTCAACTGGCATGTTTAGAGCATTATTTGTCATTCTAGGAGAAACAGAAAAACACATAGCTACTAATACGGAGTTGAGAAAGAGAAGGAATAAACAGAACAAAATCTACACAAATTGAACTTGTTTCCTTAACTGTATCTCTCCACAGGAGTGTCTGAAACAAGCTGAAGTAGTGATTATTTAACAAGTGTGTTCTCAGAAAACAGCTTATAGATATAACACATCAGATACACAAAACGCTGCTAGAGAAGAAATAATATCACAAGATCTCCAAGAAGAAATCATGTAGAAGCTTTGTTCAGCTGAAGTTTTGAAAATTTAATAAGCAATTTACAGGTCCATTCCAAAAAAAAAAGCTAACCCAATTTAAAAAATAAAAAAAATATTTACTTTCAAGATCATTGCTATCAAAAATAAGACACATTCAAACTTGTTGAATCACAGGCTTATTATAATTCTGTAACAGTTTATTAAAAAGCTTCCTTGGTGAAAAAGTTTGTTTCAGTAGTGTCATCTTGACACATGTGAACATCTTTTGAACCCTCACTTCACTGGAAACTTTGACTTTTCTCCATTTCAGAGTACAAGGGTATTTTTTTCTTAAAGTGCAAATCGTATGGCCACCACCCCCAACAGAGGCACACATGGCAGAAAAATTATTTACAGACAAGCATTTCTTAAGTAAGATGACTGACAACATCCTAGACTCATACAGAGCTATTTATGAAGAGAATGGATAAAAGAATGACCTACTTGAAGCCATATGTGGAAAAAAAAATTAAGCTTAGCTCTAGAACACGTTTCTCATTTCACTAATATTTTCAGACTGAACAACTCCAAACTGAAAGACAAGGAAGATTAGCAGAAACTCATTTTGTTAGCCCTTTTAAATAAAAGACAGAGCATCTTCAGCTGAAGACAAATGGCTGTATTCCCCGTCAGATATTTATTAATCAGATCTTCATGAAGAGTAAAGTAACACTAAAGCCTCAACATTGGTACCTATATCTGCAAGTTTAATTTGTCTATTTGACTGTATTAATGTTTGAAAACAAATAGGTTTTGTACTCAAACAGAGCAGCTGTTGCAAGAGAGTTCTGTTCCAAAAGAGGTCACTGGGGAACATGCTATTGTAAGTGCAAGTATATCCATATAAATTGAAATAAATGCTCACCAATTTACTCCATCTGCTTCTACCCACGCAAAGCGGTATTCATTGACCCTGAGCATCAGCTGCAGACATCCAGCAACACATTGTACATACTGGGAACTCTGGGTGAAAAGAAGAACACATTACTTCTTACAAGAAAAGTTAGGTAGTAAGTGCTGAAGTTCAGTTTTCCAAACTAGGCTTTACTGGCATACTTCAACACACATTTCTTCAGTGACACTTCCAAGTTAAACAGGTTCACTCTTATAATGCTTTACATCCTCTTATTTAAAACAAAAACAAGAAAAAAACCCACACTCAAAAGAAAACGTGGGAAGCAAAACATAAATGGAGAAGAGTTCTGAATAGGAAAGAAGTGTTATGCAAGTGATACCATTTTACATTACCAAAACAGATTTTTATAGCCCATTTGAACATGCCTTCTTTCAGTATCTATGAGTGAAGGCTGTCTTCTGTTTGATTGTACTGCCAGAGCCCTTTCATCCACAGTCAGTTGTTTTTCCATTGAACAAACTTTGGGAAATAAGTCAGCAAACCGGTTACCAAGCCTGAAGAAGTGTGCCGGAGGTCGTTGTAGAAAAAGGAATCTTGAACTCAAGTTCTTCCCACTCCCATTCTCCAACTCAAAACAGCAGTTGTGTCATTACAATTGTATATTTTCCTATGCATGTGCCACACCGTAAGTACCATGTTTGTCATAGTGAGATGTATATTTATACAAAAAAAATACCATTAGAAAAACGAGTATGCAAAATCATCCTCAAAGTTCAGCTTTGCATTTTAATCTTTTCTTCTTTTAATGAAAAGTTTAGCACAGTATACCGTACTAAGAAAAGAATAATAAGACTAAAACTTTCCCATCAGGAAAACACAGAGATGCACCACAGAATTCTATTTTCATTCAGACTCCTATATGAACAGTCACAAAGACAGAATCATTAAACAGCTTTTCATCTCTAAAAGCATGTATTTTCTGTGCAGGAACACATAAGATGGGCTGCAGTTCAAAAATGCCTTTTGGTCAACCCATTGTCCATCCCACTACAGCAACAGAAAGATCCCAAGGTACAACAGAAGTGGCATTTTCTTCTCTCTTCTTCCTCAACTTCTAGCATTACCTTCACTAATAGTCAGATATGCTGCTGACAAAATGTTGGGGTTTTTTTCCTATAAGCCTTTTTCTTTACTAAGTGTCTTGAAAGTCTTACGGTAAATCACACACATAATACAAGGTCAAACCTTTCAAACATTTAATGGAGTAAAGAGGTTAGGCAATCCCATATATATGAAGAGAAAATGGAAGAGACAATAAACAGAATTTGAAATAAATTTAAAATAATTCAGGCTATTCACATATGAAAAACTTACAGCTTTGAAAGCAGCCTTGTAATTTCATGCTACAGAGGTTTGAAGGACAATGTTAGCTTCAATATCAAAATGCCTTTTCTAAGTTCTGCACATTACAAGAGCCAAAAGCTTCTTAGTCTCAGGTTACTTCTACAAGTCAGACAGTTCAGTGCTAAACAGACAGTATTGTTCAAGTATTAAATTAATTGCATATACTTTTTCAAGTTTTAACAAAAAGGATGCTAGATATATCTACATTTTTAACAACCCAAACCAGCTCATAAAATATATACTTCTACTGCCAGCATTTTCTGAAACCAGTGTTTTAAAAATACTTTTGTTTCTTGGCGCCATCACCTGGCACTCTGTTGTTGTACAGTTTCAATTCCAAGTACTTTCTATTACTGACACCAGAACAGCTCTGCGCCTTAATCTGCAGAGTGGATATCGCCTGCCCAAAATAGCAAATTGACAGATTTCAAAGATATACTCACATCACTTGTGGAGACTGCTCCTGTTTCCACAGAACCCCCTGTACCACGTAGTTTCTAGCAAAAAAATAAAAGTTTAAAATAGCTGTTCTTCACCCTTACGGAACAGTTGTTACCCAGTTTCTTTCAATTCTCCCATCGCTTTAGTCATAAAAACAAAAGATTAAGAATCTATTAAATATTTTTTCTGCTCAATATATTATGATAATATATTGTATTTGTTTCCCACACGCACCATCACATCTAGAAGAATATGCTTGGAGCTGATCCTGATATATGAAGATTTAATTTTTTTTTTTTTTTTAAATTTAAGCATGGATTTACTCAGGACTTTTATCCGACTTTACCTTAGAATTTGAAAACCATTCTCATGACACTTTCTGAAGGGAATTCCAACTTTAAGATTCTTATTCCAGAGTAAAAATAAAACTCATTTTTAATAAGTCCAGTCTGGAAAACTATGAAAAAAGTATATCCCTACTAAACCTACTGAATGTTTCTCTACTCTCCAGAATCCACTTCTGCTAGAACAGAATGACAAATAACTGGGTCTGATAAGAACTGAAAGGAAAATCTCCAAAAATGAATACAAAGGAGAACAATTAATCTTTGAAGGAGAAGCCAGCAGTAAGCAGTTCATACTGAGCTAATGGCATACAGCTACTGCCCAAGTAAGTCAGATTTATTTAGTTTCAAGAAACAGGACTAAAAATAAAAGCTTTGTATTACAGTAAACAGGAAAAAAGTTTTGATATTCACTTCCTGCTGCCATGTGATTTTTCTTCCTAGCAAAAAGCTCTGAGAAAAAAAACAATACAGGGAGACAAAAAACCCTCATCATATGTTTTCTCAGTGTCCAAAAGAAAACAAATGTTTACCAACAGAAAAGGCAAAAAGCCTTTTTTTTTTTTTTTAATTTAAATTTCAAGGACTGGAGTAGAAAATATAAAATATTAAGTTAAAAAGTATGTGTTTGAACAAAGCATATTTAGCTTTAAAAATAACAAAGTAAAATGTCATTTTTAAAGAAAGAAAACCAAAAAACTGGGATTGTTTAGCCTGGAGAAGAGGAGGTTGAGGGGAGACCTTATTGCTCTCTACAACTACCTGAAAGGAGGTTGTAGTGAGGTGGGTGTTGGTCTCTTCTCCCAAGTAGTTAGCAATAGGACCAGAGGAAATGGGCTCAAGCTGCGCCAGGGGAGGTTTAGGTTGGGAATTAGGAAAAATTTCTTTACGGAAAGGGTGGTCAAGAATTGGAACAGGCTGCCCAGAGAGGTGGTAGAGTCACCATCCCTGGAAGTGTTCAAAAAATGGGTAGATGTGGCACTCTGGGACATGGTTTAGTCTAGTCTACCCTTGATTGGCTTAGAGTAGACTTGGTAGTGTGGGTTAATGGTTGGACTGGATGATCTTAAAGGTCTTTTCCAACCTAAACGATTCTATGATTCTATGAAAAAAACCAAAACCTCCTCTTTGCCCATCTATATATTCATGTTCTTGGAAAAAAGTTTCCAAAGTGACCATAATGTTTAAACAGAAGTAGCTTTTTACCTGTGAACTGAGCTGAGTTTTAATCCAGTTGAAATAATAATTCAAGTCACTGCCTTCCATAAGTTCCCTCCCCCACGCAGCCAGTTTGGCAATAATTCTTGCTGCCTGAAAGAGAATGCAATAAACAGAATTCTCAAGCGCAGCAATTTCAGGATTCAGTGAAAAGTCGTACAAGCTCTGGAAACCAAGTTTAGGTAAAAGATGGCCCCTTACAGAAATCTACCTGTTTTCTATGTAGGGGACTCTTCATGCCTAGTAATTTTGTTTCTTAAGCTTTCTGCTCCTTCTACTTCCTAGTAATTGGTATATTTTCACAGTGTTATTGGGTACCTATCTCCAATGAAGTTCACAAGACACCAACAAAGACCTCAGAAGCAGGGGAGCTATCAATGGGCTATTGCTGTAGGGCACTATTACAGTCAGAAATCCATCAGCAGTAAGACACTTAATGGTCTAACACATACATGAGTAGGCTTACTTTAAGCAACGATGGCATATGCAAATGCAAATGATTGCAAAGTATTAAAGTTCTGTACTTAAACTGAAGCAAGTCATCTTCAAGAAGGAAGAAGTTTCAAGACCAGAAAAAAAGAACAGAAATTCTACCTTCCCTTTTGGTTTTAAGAATGAAGTTGAGGAGTGAAAATGTAGTCACGTTAAGAATTTTCATTACGCCTATAGCACAAGAATACATAAAATAAGAGTATATGCTATGCCAGCCTTTCCAAATTATGTTTGAAGTAACTCTACATTGCAGCCTGCAGCTTATTTGCAGAAACATTTGAGCCAGCTTATATATGAGGCAGTCTAACCACAAAACTACTGAGGTAGGGGTTAATTTGCCTGCATACAGCTCTGTGATGCGGTGAGGAGACTATTCCAGGCATCTTTCCACTGTACTGCATTCAGACATGCAGCACCATCACCACTGATTTCTAGAGGGATTATGAGCGTAGAGATCATTGTTCCAGACTCTTACTGAAATGTGTCAAATCCACTTCTGAATGCAGCCAAGTAACCCTATAAAATCACTTCAGCTTTAAAACATGATATATTAGATCACTAGCTTACTGTGCTCCCGAGTTAAAACTCCTACCTGACCCCTGAGTAAGGGACCATTCATGCCTAGCAGAATTTGAGCCGGAACACAGAGAACAAGTATGATGTGGCAGCAAAAGCCTTCCAGTGTGCGGGGAGGGAGGAGGGGGGGAAAAAAAAAAAAAAAATCAAAAAAACTAACACAAACCTGAAACTTTGTTTTGAAAACATTCATGTGCTTTAAAAAAAAAAAAATGCACAAAGAGTACTAAAAGGCACAATAAGGGACCAAACAGTGTTTTAAAGTGGATTCACATAACATAAGGTTCTCTTACTTCTGAAATTATTTGTATATTTTTGCAATACCTAAAGAAAACAGTATCTGAATAACACATCTGTGAGTAGAGAAATACTGGGCATACAAATTTCTGTACTATATATTTGAAAGCCACCATTCTAGGGAGAATAATTAGTTTGCACTGCAAGGGTCTAAAAATTACACTTTACCCGCACACTTGAGAAGTCAATATTGTCCAAGTTTGCTCAAACTGCAGTTTTGCAAGATGGCTCTTCAGCAGCAATACCACAAAAAAATAAATAAAAAACCCCCAAAAAAACAACACCCCCCCAAAAAAAAGCCACAAAACACCACCAGAACACCCACAAAACAAAAAGACCAATCAAAAACCCCCAAAAGCCTCCTCTTTCAGCTGCACCAAGTAACCTGATTCTATGGTCATGCAGTGAATCAGTTGGATATTTAAAAAAAAAAAAAAAATCAAGCCTGTCATTTTTCTTGAAAATAGGCCAGCTCACTGTTCAAGTCACAGCACAGCCTGAAACACAGTTGCACTGACCACAGTCAAGGGCAAACAGGATGACTTGCCTAGAATTCCTTGCACAAGCACCGCCACCACAGCATAACATGGGCCAGGTATGTGGTTTTATAGTTTGAGCCACTGATTTGATTCTACCATACCATGCCAGCATAAACATATGCAGTGAAGAACAATTCATACCCATGCAGTTTTCTCCCTGTTCAAGCCATAATACACAAGTTTTATTGGTGGAAACTATGGTCTCCATTAAGAATTTACAGTAATACAACCATATTTTTCCCCCACAAGGAAAAAAAATGCAGAGATGAAGTGGCCAGTTCTCACCACAGATAAGAGGAATATTGAGAATGCCAGAAAACTTCCTCCATACACACCAGCAGCACCCAGTGGCTCAAAGCACAGCAGATGCCATACAACACACATGGTTGTACTGGGCTTGGCTGGGATGGACTTAATTTTCTGCATAGCAGCTCATGTGATGCTGCGGTTTAGACTGGTGACCAAAACAGTCTTGATAACATACCAACGTTTTAGCTGTTGCTGAGCAGTGCTCGCACATCAAGGACTTCTGTTTCTCACTCTACACTTCCAGTGAGTAGGCTGGGGGGGGGTGGGGCAGGGCAAGAAGCTGGGAGAGGACTAAGCCAGGACAGCTGACCAAAGAGACATACTGGCTGGGTATCAGTCTGCTGGTGGTGTGTGATTGCTTTTGCATCGCTTCTTTTTGTTGGATTTGTTTTGGGTTCCACTCCCCCCCTCCCTTTTTTCTCCTTCATTTATTAAACTGTCTTTATCTTGACCCACAAGTTTTCTCACTTCCTCCCTCCAAATTCTCTCCCCAGTCCTGCTGTGGGAGACTGTGCAAGAAACTGGGTGGAAGCTTTCCACCACAACAGCAAACACTATTTCTTCCCCAGTATGCTTACAAACTATTTTAAGCAGATTTCAAGCCACATGATAGTGATTTGAGCATATGAGAGAATCAGGTTCATCAAGGTAAAGCTATTTCTCTTTCACAGGATGAGAACTTAAATTCTAATACTTGTACAGCATGAGGAGCATTGACTGGCAGTTGTGACAAAAGTTATTTTTCTAGTTATGTCTTATTGTGCTTAATTAATTCTAAAATCCTTGCTTTTCTGAGCCTTTAAAGCCTGCTCTAATCTCCCAGAAAAAACAATGTTAATAAACATGTAACTTTTCCTTCTAAAATGTGGTCAAGCGAAGCTTGTATTAAGAATGACTCATCTGGACTGCAAGAGGAAAACTTTCCAGTCCAGGCAGTAGCTTAGCTTCAAACTCCAAAATCTCCTAAAGAAAAATAAAACCAGCACTTTTTCTCTGCCATCTTCAGAGACAGGTTCATTTAAAACTTACCATATGCACAGTGAAAAGATCTTGTCGATTCAACATCGGCAGAAAATAGGACCATGCAGTGTTTTTACCACGTTTTGCATAATCAAAGAAGATACAAACACGCTGATGATTTTCCTGTGAAAATTGGGAGAGGGGAAAAGATGAGACACTTGTAAAAGTATTCAACATAAAGCAGTTATTTGCTCCTCATTATGTTGGCATACATTATCAGAGTGTAACCTGGCTTGTAACAGCCCATGGAAATTTTTCAGTTTGACAGTTAAGTTGTGGATACAGTTCATTTCAGCACTCCCAACATTAAAGTTACAGATTTGGGGTGGGGGGGAAACAAACTCTGAAACCCTAGTTATATCGCAGTACTCCAACACCTGCTTGAATAAAAATGGATGTACCCTTTTGGTCAAGGAAGCAGAATGAGAGAAGTGAGAGACTAACTAAATACTGTCATTTTCCAGAGGAACACTACTCTTCATCCCATCAATTATGCTTGAATAAAGTCCATACAAAGTTTTTCACGTATTGCTACTTTCACACAAAAGCCTGTTGTTCAACTTGGCTTCGTGCGCTACAAGTGAAACTTCGGAAATGTAAGCTAGTCCTGCTTCCCCATTCCTCTCAATGGGAAGCAAGCCTTTCTTTCCCAGCTGAGGTTGTAATTGTTCAGCTGTTATCTCAGGATACGTAGGAGAGGACATCGTCACCAGAAGTCTGTTCTCCAGGCTTCTAGGCTGAACCACAAGAGACCACAAGTATCTGAACCTGGGCACCATGCACAGTTTCTTCAAGCATTTCACTTAATAACCACCATGAAAGCAGCTATTACGGTTCTCCTTAAAGCAGACCAGAGAAGAGGCCATGCAACCCCAAAGGAGAAAGAGGAGCTCTGATATTTCCTAATAGCCTAGAATACAGACAGTCTTCCAGAAAAATCAAATACCTGAATTCTTGCTTTCCCCCAGCATTTCCATGTACTCTCTAGCCTGGTGGATAGTAAGTTTTCATTCTAAAGAGATGTCCCCCCCATTGCAGTCAAGCTACTACAACAAAGTATACAAGGAAGGCAAAACTGTTTGAAACACTGTAACTGGGAAACTGACATGGGACACTACCCAATGAATTTATTTTTCAAACTCCCCTAGCTGAAGGGCTTTCCTCCATCAATTCAGCATCCTATCATTAATTATATGGACCAAGAATCAGCTAGGCAAGCCTGCTTGTTGGAATACAATCTGTTAAACACAAGATGACCTGAATGTATCCATGATCCAAATGCTGGCATCTTACTAAGCATCAGACTTGCAACCAACCCTGCATTGAAAGTATCAAAAGTTACTGCACCAGGTGGTCTGCCAATTGCTGTCCTGATCACTGATAACTGGGTAAGTCAGGTGTCACTAGTTATCTGACAGTCATAACCCTTACAGTGACTAATGTTATATATGGCATGTGTCAAAAAGCACTCAAAAACCCTCTCAAAATTTGTTGTTCAAATGAAATTTAAAAAAAAACAAAACAAAAAAACCCCCAACAAGTTAAGATGTGAGGAACACAGTGCCTTGGTGGAGAGCCTCCTGTCTGTGAGGGCTAGTTTGATGAAAAATGGCAGTTCAATCAAATAAATAGCTGTTAGCACCTACACTTGTGCTACACAGTCTATCTAAAACGATCAGAACTAACTAGATCAATGAGTTCAGTTTACAACAGAACTAAGAAGGAGACAGACAGGTCTGGAAGCAGAAAAGCTGAAATAACTTCAACATGCTGTTTATCAGAAGACTAGTCTGGTTTGCTGTTAAGGTGGGGGGTAAAGACAGGAAGGAAGGAGTGGAGAACTGCCTACGGCCCTAAAATATATAGTGCTGCACCTTCCTAAGCAGCTACTGACTACACCAATAAAATGGAAATCCTGAAGCTCTCATATCAACAGTTGAATAATATAGCATCTGTCATTTCTGAAGAAGCATAATGAAGCTCACTTGGGTGGTACTGTTACCTGCACTAGCTAGAGTGCAGGTTCTTAAAGATTTCACAAGTAACAGATTGTGAAGTGTGATGGGGTCACTAATCCAGAGAAATTGTTCCAGGTATTTATCATATGGATAGAGTAAGAAATGCTTCCTCAGGGATTCCAGTATGCTAACACTCTCCACCTTCAGAAATAAGCAGAATGGTGACATTCTTATAAAGCAATCACCACATTAATTTCACTTCTGACAGCCTCCAAAAGAAACCTTTCTTAGAATGATGATCAAACCCATAACTAGAACTGCTGGAACAATCCTAGACACCCAGGTAGGCTTTTGGTGTGCTCAAAACACAGGTGATATGATTTTTTACAACCTCACAAGAAAAGCATAGGAAGATAATAACCATCACAGACAGTCATTATCAACACAGACAAAAGCTGGATACTGTTACCTACAATAGTTTCTAGAAGTTTCAGCTATGAAAGGTAGCTTGCAAATACTATTTGTTCATCTCATGAAACTGCAGTGAACATCCTTGCACAAAATAATTTTACCGAGTCAGCAGCACCATGACAGGCCATGTTCTTGAACAATTTCTCGCTTAAGATCTTTGCATGTACTGAATTAAGAGTACTCGGGCAAAGACAGGAGACTTCATATCCACTATTGTGGATTCTTCTGTCCATGCAGTCTGCAGAGACCTTGCACTAAACTCACAGTCACAAGAGTCAATGGCCAATACGCTGCTTTCTGCCAAGAATCTTACACCTTGAAAATGTGCAATAATGTCCATAAGGCATCACTGACAGCATGTTCTACCATCTGAACACGACCAAAAGAAAACAGAAGTCCTGTTTCAGCCTCGCATAGTGGAGGCATGGGGTGTTAGGAAGCCCTGGGATGATGTCATGCAGATGCCTGCACACAAGCTCTCTCTGGCAGCAGCGAGATATCCCTGAATAATGAAGTCATGCAGATCATTGCAAAAGCCAGTGCAGCCTTTCAGACACTGAAGCAGAATTTCTAAAGTGAAAAAGGCATCCGATTTCAAACAAAAGCAAATACATACTGTGCACCAACATCTCTATTCTTCTGTATCACTATAAAGTCTGACAATTTAAAGTCATTATTTTTAACATTAAGAATTCCACATATGCCACTTCTGTGGCAGGGTAAGGCCCTGAACACAGAAGTGTCAGTGCATGACCATAAAGTCAAGAAAACATGTTAATCTAGACACATATGACAGAACCAATATGGCAAATAAGAGATTACTCAAAACTACTTTCTGTGACCACCTAGAACTAATGCAATTATTCAAGAGTGGGCCACTAAAAGCCTTTACCTGTGGGGTATTGATTCCACAGCACAGATGGTATCAAGTATTACATATTGTAGCTATAGCCTATGGGCTAATGTCAAAGCACATAAGCAAAACAAGACCCACGAACATGCACAAAAAGTTCCAAAGAAGGGCAAATGAAAAGATTACTTCTGTAGCCACCAACATGTCTCACACAGAAAACATTCCCATTCCTCACAAAAGTAGCCATAATAAACAGAGTTCCCACACACTAAGACATGTTTGTCATCAAATGCATAAACCAAAACAAGGTACTCCCAGCTCAGTGTCCTAATCAAGGAATGACACTGGGGCTCCCTTTTATCTTCTCTGCTTCTTGATGTTTGTGTCACATTTGAGAAAAAATAAATTGAAAGAAAAGAGGAAGAGGGTCAGGGTGACAAAGCTGCAGATGGGCATGAATAAACTGCCACCACCAGCACCAGCTATTATTCTAGCAGTCAGGGCACTCACTCAGGGCTCTAATGTGCAGACAGGCACCTGAGAAAACACCATAATCCCCATGTTATATGTATTGTGGAGAGGCTGACACGTTTCAACTTGGCTGTTGACAATACTGAATACTCAGAGCTGGGATTAGAACTCACATGGTTCACCTCCTAGGGCAATGCCCTAAACTGTTAAGTTATCCCTAGACACATTTCACTGTAACCTTGTATTAAACATAACATAAAACAGCAGAAGAGAAACTTTCAAACAGCCAGATATTCTATGTGAATACCAGGAGAAAACTTTGCACAACTCAACCTATCTTGTTACATCATCACTCCAACCACTTTCTCAGTCTACTAGAGAGTGAAGAAATGCAAAAGCAGGATTATCTGATTGAGTAAAGTCTCCTCTTGACTTGTCAAGGTCAGCACAGCAGTCCTGACACGAAATTTAACAGCCTATTCTTCTAAGTCACTGTATCCCATAGCTACAAACAGCTACATATTTTATTGAATCAAAAGTTCCTGTTTTATAATTAAACCATGCAGAATTTCAGAACTTGTTGTCCTAAACAGTCTAACTTATGGTGGAAATGTGAGGCTGCAGAAACTACACCTTCTTGCTGAGGATGGCCAAATTAACACTGTCAAAGGAAAAGCTTCAACAACTTCAAGTTAAAAGTCATATCCTACCTACACAACAGGAAAGGACTGAGGTCACAAAACATCCCTTAACATCCAAGTTTTGCATCAAAGATGGTTGAGAGCCAACAGACAAGCATACAGGTATGTTTTATTTCCAGAATATGAACATGCATATACAAGACTAAGTCACCCATACAACTTTAGTCCTAACATTTAACTTCTGAAAATTTGAAAGAATATTTTTAATACAGTATGACAAACACCTGAATAGACCTGAATTAGGCTAAGGAAACATTCAAGCATGCATTTAAAGACTTAAAAATAAGACAGGTTATTGACCTACTTGCAGCATATCATCAACCATAGTCAGAATGTACTGAACCGTCTGTTCCTTGGAGATATGAGTCATAAGGTTTATAAATGTTTTAGCACACTAGAAAAATAAGAGACATTAAAATTAATATTAGCAATTATCTTCATTCCTTTTGATAATATAAAACAGGACCTCATTAATTCACAGTTAAGTCTTACATAAGCATTGAGCATCCCAACATCTTGCTCAATTGCAGTAACAGATGAATACATTTGACATTATATTACAAAGAAAATTTTCTGTCACATTGATCATTACCTTTTACAAATTGTTTTATGGCTTTCAAATGAAGTAACAAGTACTCACTAGTGAAAGCCAGCAAGGTGCTTTGTTGAAAGACTAATTAGAAAAGTCTCCATCAGCGCCTTTTTTTGTGGCAGTGAGGAGAAGAACCAAGTAAATCGACAAAACAGCAACAAACTTAGACACAGTGTAAAAAAGTTTCAGCAACTTGCACGGAGGGAGGGAAGACAGGTCACTCTTACATGTTCACTTCTTATACCTTGTAGACAAATCTTTGTTCATATTTGAGCTGTTTTCTGCCTCCTGAACAACTCTACAATTTCAGGAACAGATATAATAGCCTGGAACAGTCACAACACTACTTTTTACACTTCCTCCTTCCCCTTCACCACATTCAACTAAAACCGAAAGAAAAATGAAACTCTGAACTGCTATACTGTAATTATATAGTGGCATATAATGTTCACCATATATGCTTTTGTCACTACACAAATTACAGTCCATTACATAGCAGTCACACAATACAATTTGGCGGGGGGGGGGGGGGGGGGGGTTG